AGAGAGAGAGAGAGAGAACTCGGTAAAGCCTTTATTGTCGATTTTTCTCGCAATCTAGCGAAAACGTCGAGTTTCATCGAGGCACTTCGCCATAAAAAGAGCAATATAATACGTTTTCTGTCGATTTACATCCGCATGTTCAGCTCACTTTTCGTCTTTATCGCATTTCTCGGAAATTCAAGCATCGCTAGATGAACAGCTCGCGATTTGGTTTTCAAATCACATCGAATGCGTATTTCTGTCTATCAGGATATGGCAGTAAAAGGTAAACTTCACTACGGCGGCGAACACCTGCTGGATGCGAATGTGGATATCGATGTATTCGCCAAGAGGACGCAAAAGATCAACGTGGTGGCGAAGCTGAACCAACATAACATCGAGAAAGGTCACAACGTCACCAGCGTAATCGAAGTGAACAGCCGTGGGCAACAACTCAAATTCGATTTGAAATCGCACGCGGCGTTGTCGGAGAACAAGATCGGCTTCGGCAGCATGTTGTCATACATCGACTCGCATCAAAAACCAAAAAGCATGGGCATTCTGTTCGCTGCGGATCCCACGACGGCGTACCTTCTTATAACTTCACCTAATAAGGAAATCCTCAGAGTCGACGCTAAACTAGAATTAAAGAAAAACCTGCAGAAACTTAACACGGAAGTCGCGATTGTGGGCAACAAACCTATCGTATCTCAGTTCGAAGCACATGATTGGAACAGCTTCACATATACGGAATATGATCAAGGTAAAGTTTATAATAAATTAATAATTTTAATCGACATTTTATATCTTTTTACAAAACTTTAATCGTTAAGTTGAATCTAATATTTGTAAAATGACTATCATGTGTAAAATGACAAAAAAATCAATTAGTGATATTTTGTATCATATTTTGTATCATTATGCGAATTTTGATCATCTCGTATTTTAGATGAACCTAATACAAAGCTCGTCGTCAACGGGCGCCTCGTTCTCGGGCAATTGGCCGAAATTCATGCCGATATGTTCAAGGATGGAACGAAGCAGAATCTATTTCACGGTTTGATCCATCTTGATGAAAAGAAGTTCTTGAAACCTGACTTTGGTTATAACAAGGACAATGTTGTCCATGTAATCGTGAGTGTTTTTTCGCATGCTTTTTCGCGATATGACGAATACACTATGGTTTATTAATTTTACTAATATAAAATTAGGAAGAGGAACGACGCCGCGGCATCGAGCTAATGAAACAACTCAAAGATGCCTCTATCGAAATAGTCAACGAATTAGAACAAGAACTGAAAAGTTTTGTGGAACATTTGAAGAAGGCTCAACCGAACATGAAGGCACTCTTGGAATATTACGAAAGTGAACTTAATAAACTGAAGACCGAACTCCATGCTGACCAAACCATGAAAGATATACAAGCTACTTTGTAAGAATTCCAATTACACTCTTTTCAATTTCACATTACGTTTAATATTCGTATTATTTTACATAAATTTATGTGAAACAATAAAATTTTACAACATTTACATTTCTCAATAGATATAATTATATATAATACTAATAATAGGAATGTTATAAATTTTTATTATTGCCTTTCACACACATAAATTTATGTAAAATAATACACATATATTTATACAGAATTGTTATATATATAACAACAATATAAATATTATTAAATTTGAATCAAACTTTAAATCAGGTTTCAGGCGCTTTAAATTTTAATTCGTATGTAAATATCCCCTTCAAAATTCAATTTATTCGTAGGTCTCTCTGAAATTACTATACGCTTAATATCAATCGTATCTTTCCAGGCACAAATACTTTGGAGCTATCATCTTAGCCGTAGGGGATACCTTGAAACAAATATCCGCGCGATTAAACGAACTTCAGAAAGAGTACAATGAACTAGTTGCCAAGATGGAAGACGCATGGAATACGGTTTATCCTCAGTTGAAAGAATCCTACAACAGGATAGTCAACGCATACATCAAAATCGTCGATACTATTGTCGAATTTTCTATGGTCCAGCTTAAGATGTTACTCACCGTGATTAATGACCATCAGAAGGAGCTGAAAGAATTAGCGGTCATGGCTTCCGAAGTTGCTCAGGACATCGCTAAGGTCATATTCAAGGCGATTGCTCAGATCAACAAGGACGTCGACGAATTCGTCGTCTTGTTGAAGAATCAAATGAAAGCTTTGCCGATCTACGATCTCATAAAAGAGCAGTATCAGGATGTTATAAACTTCCAAGTTCCGGAAAGCGTATTGGCCTCAATCCACGAACTCAGCGAGGCCATAAAGGCCATGCTACCAACTGAGGAACTTCGACAGCTCTTCAGCGCTACTTATGAATACATCATGAAGCACGTCAAACACGAGAAAGTAAGTTTCCTTACCGATCTTACATTCGCATTTTGACATTTCAGCCGGTAGCGCCCTTCGAACGATTCAAAATTACTAAAATAGTAAGAAGCACCTGAAATAATAGATAATATGCATTCGCGCAGGTTGACGATACCAGCGAGATTAAGAAGATTTATGATTACACGCTCAACGCAATCGCGTCTCTCGTTAAACTTCTGGAAACCAGCGGCACACTGGATAACCTGATGGGCAGCTTGTTTGATACTCATCTTCCCGAATTAGAAATGTTAATGAAATTGCCAGCGGTCACCTCATTCAAAATGTCTCTCATTAATCTGATACGCAATAACGAACTGCCATCAGCCATGGATCTGTACTATACCTACAGGTTTCTTCTTTTTTACTCTTATTTAATTTTTTTATTTTTAAGGTGTTTGCACTGAATTATAATTTTATGTTTTTTTTCTTTTTTTTTTGCGAGAAATAGTAACATTAATGTTAATCGATTTTTGTACTTCGAACAGACCAACTTTGCTGCCTTCCAACATTATACCGCCCTTCAGCAAGTTCGGTACCGTTGTCGACGGAGGACATTTCTTCACCTTTGACGGCAATTACCTCAGCATGCCCGGTGACTGTACCTATATCTTGGCTCAGGACATGCAAGATGGCAATTTCTCCGTCGTCGCCAACTTCAACAAAGGAAATCTCATTAGCGTGACCGTTACGGAGCCTAAAGAGAGCATCACGCTGAAGAACAATGGCAACGTAAGTTTATTTCTCTTATCTCTCTTAACCAATTTCCCATAGCGCCGGTAAGTTACGTGAATATGTGACATGAATTGAGAACCAGGGGCCAAATGGGTTGCTGAGGTAAACGAGAAAAGGAGAAAGGGAGAAAGGGTGGATGGGCAAAACCACCAGATCATTCTCATTCAGTATTCCGTGTACGAGTCTTATAATGCAATCCCGTATTGAACTGTAACTTTATAAGTTGACTGGGGAGCTCCAAACTTCTCTGACAAGCCAAACTCTATTATCCTCGCGTCGTTTCTCTTATAGACGGACGGAGCGAGGGAGGAATAAAAATTGCCATTGTTCACCTCAGGCCCTTGTTGTTGTAAAATCGCGCCGACCTCGCGACCCGGCAATTTCCGCGCGCTCATTTTTTTGCCATTCTCGCGTCTCTCTTTTTTTTTTTGTTTTTTTAAAGAAACCTCATTCGCTTTTTGCACGCGATTGCATTCGCGCGTTTCTCTTTTTTCCAGATCCTGGTGAACAACAAGCCAGCCGAGTTCCCAGCCAACACGAAGAACCTGCACGCGTTCCTCATCATGCCGACTATGAACGTCAAGTCCGACTACGGTGTGCACGTCATATGCAGCAAACTACATATGGTTTGCGCGATCCACGTGTCCGGCTTTTATCACGGAAAACTACGCGGTCTTCTCGGTGATGGCAACAACGAACATTACGACGACTTCACGTTGCCGTCCGGAAAGGTAACTTTAAATAAACAGCTTCTCGCGTAGAATGTCAAAGGATCGATCGCGTTACCAGGCGGTTATTTCTTGAAAGGATTTTTATTTAACAAAAATTTCATAAATTATGTTTTAATTACGATCGTTAAAAAAAAAAAAAAAAAGACGATATCTTTGCATACATCAGAGTGATATAGATAAAAAAATATTCTCTCCTTCTTGAGTTAATTCTATTATGAGAAAAGTCGAAATTGATAGCTTAAATACGCTGAAGGTAAAATGAAAAATGTAGACATGTTATAAATGTTTAATATAATCTGCTTCCTGCTCTCTCTCGGAAGCTCGTCCTTCATTTTCTCGGCGTCGCGCTTCTATTCATAAGGCCTTGCGGTAATATCGTCAGACTATAAATCATGTTCTTTGTATAGTTTTGCTCTTATTCGAAAGTTTCCACTACGATCAATAGACAAATGTCTACGTGGAGTGGCATTCTTTTCCGAAGGGATCACGAATTCTCGAAGAGATCTGCATTCTTTCGTTGCGAGATAGATATCTAAGTTCGTAGTTTGTGTGCAAAACTAGAACAACCAACGGTCTATATACCTGCGTTTCTTAAGTGAAAAGATAAAGTATCTCATATTTCCGTGAGCGAAATATCTTCTCCTGTCGGCAAGTTTGAGAATGAAATTGCATGTTCTACTTTCAAAAGTAAAAATAAATAACGACGAGTGTTTTGCTACGAAAAGACCTTAAGATCGTAAGATGGTAGAGATTTGCAGTGCTTGCAGTGATCTCTAAAAGCGCCTTTCTCGCAATTGAAACAGATTACCGAGAGCGAGACTGAATTTGCTAACGGATACAAACTGAAGCCCGATTGCGCGGCTGTGAATGCGATCGATCACAAGACGAGGCAACGTAATCCAGTCTGCACTGACTATTTCTCCGGTCAGAAGTCTACATTGAAGTAAGTACATTCGTCATTTAAAAGATACGATTAGGCTAAAGATAATATACAGAAAATGAGACGCCAAAAATACAATATGTTCAAGGCAAAAAGTTTTGTAATTAAAAAAAAAAAAATATCGAACGGCCATTGTTTTTACACTGTCTATATTTTTTTCAAATATTTGAAAAATATAATAAATTCTCTGGAAATAATAAAATCACCGTAACCATTTTACCGCCAACTTCGATGCAACTTACGAAAATTACGTTTCTCCGTTATGTTTTAGAAACTGTTTCAACTACGTTAATCCGACTCATTACCGAGACGCTTGCGACGCTGCCGCTAACGGAAATCCGCAAGCTCCCTGCACGCTTGCTGTTGCTTACTTCTCCGCTTGCTATTATAAGCGTATTTTCGGAATAAGCATTCCACCCGCTTGCAGTAAGTTAAATTGTTGACTTGTACTACTTTACAAAGCGTTGAATCGAATACAGCATTAATAATACCAGGAAAACCAACATCTCTCCTCTCCAAGAAATAAACTTACTTAAGATGTACGCGATATGAAGTCTACTTCTTACATTAGGAGTTGATTAATAGAAAACGTCAGTTTTAAAAGAGATAAATGCAATTTAGAAGAATAGAGATACTGCTTCTTAAAAGACAAATATTGAAATGTGTGCTGTAACATTCTAGCAAACTGCAAAGTTGGTGGAGATACGATCGCCATCGGTGATACTTTTAGCGTCAAAAACCCGAAGACTCAAGCCGATATTGTCCTGGTAGTCGAACAAAGTACGGAAAATGAGAAAGTTTTTAAAGATTTGATTCCAACGTTGGTGGCCGATCTGAGGGAGGAATTCAAACAACATGGCATAACGTATGTAGATATTATTAAAATTGTAAAAATATCAAAGTACTTTTCAATAAATGTAAAGCAGAAAAATACGTGAAAGACATTTAGAAGATCAGACTGCGACTTCAGAATGTACTGTGTACATAGTTCTCTGATCCGATACAAACGTACTGCATATTTCTGTCATATTTGTCATATCTCAACAGAGACGTCCATATTGCCTTAATCGGTTTCGGCGACCACATGAAGTGGCCGCAACATTACACCACTAACGGCGGCAATACTAACATCGAAGGCGATGTGAAGAACATGAAATTCGAGAAACAGAGCCAATACTCAGTCTCGAGGTAATTTATCATTTCACAAAATTACATAC